GGACTACCCTAAAATATGGTTCTTACACTACATACATGAAAAATAAAACTTTAACAAACGTTTATAAGCTCGCCAAGAGAAATACCGTCAAATATCAACAAAAATGCAAAATCCAAAGTAAAACACACAAAAACTGCTGAAAATACCTCAAAAATGGCAAAAAATGCAAAAAAAATGCACTAACAAGTTGCTGTCATTTGATTATTATCCTGAAACACGTTTATATATAACAGAGCAATGTCTCAGACTTTCAGAAAAAAAGATACATAATCAGCAAAATCCTCGCCATCTTAGTAATTTGTATGCTGAGAACGATTTCACCGCCCAGATCACCCTCGCCATATCCACCATCTCACAGGCAACCACCCAGTCATTCTCCGTGGGAATGAAGTGGGTTACCTCTGGCCAGTCTCCTAATATCCCTCTTATATAACCTTAGGTTTACCATAACGGTGGAGCAAGCACTAACCATGGGTTGTCTTGGCAACCCGGGTGGTGACTCTCGTAGCTTATTGCAGTGCCCCTGTAGCAACTGCTGTTGTTGTGGTGGTTGTATACTTATGTATTCCCCACCTCAGACTGGCAGTGTTACTAACCCTCACCTTTAGAGACGAAAACCCATAACCGAGCCCCCCTTCGCCCCCGGCGAGTAGATTCGCATGGTCCCTCCCTTGATCCTTTGCCCTGTGTGAAATAGAGGAATTCTGCAACTCCAAGCGTCGCTTGACCGCCACGAGGTTGTCAGGTTCCCCCAGATGGCAACCTTGCGGAACCTAGGTAGGCACTAGGCAGTCTTCCTGTACTACCTTTAGGTATGCAGCCTCCCACAATTGTTCTGTACCACTAAAAACTGGCATGTTGTGGGATCCGAACTCACAACCTGTGAGCTTAGAGTTCGAGTCTTAAACCGCTACACCAAACTGACTACAGTAATTACACCACAATTAATTAAAATAATTTATTTTACCCAAAATCATTTTCATGCTTATTTTCTGTCCGGAAATTTTAGTTTCAATAACAGAGACAGAGCAGTGACTACGTTTTTAGGCTATCATCATAAAAACGTTGATTTTGTGGTGGCTTTTGCGGCCATAAAGTCTCACTTTATTGTACGCTTCTGTCAAACTTTACTTTATTGTACACATCTGTCAAACTGTACTTATTTGAAACTGATGTGTGAGAAACAGTAATCTGTTTTATACAAAGCGTCTATCTGGTCTAGTCCCATCAAGGATTAGGCCATCCACGTTCGTTTTTTTCATTTTCGGACTTGTACCTATAGGAATGTTTCACACTACATATTTTGCATAATCACAATGTTCACATTTAAAATTATAGTTTGACGTTTCAATCTTTGCTGCTTGCAGACCTTTTTGAAGTGTAGAACAAAAACATGAGGGAGATGTTATTGCTTACATTATTATACGAAGAATCACCAGCAATTAACCGAGAACACAAGTAGCTACGTACCTATACCTACCATCAAAGAGTAGGTAATCAATCAGGTTTCTAATAATTGTACAGCATGTTAATTATAAGGTCTTGGAGGCCGCAGTTACGAATATTGCATTTGACATTATTAAAATCTTGTGCAACGGAGGATGTAGCGATTGTACTTTTACTCTCAAACGCCAGCTCTTATATCATATATGACTTAGGGTCGCAACGCTTGCAGCTTTCAAAATTTCATTTGGGGTATCTGAACTGTCGCTATCACCCATTTTGATACGCACAAAACACACGCAAAGATGCTAATTATAATTACATACGACATTTAATTGTCTAAGATAACTATGATTTTCAGAAAAAATATGTTTATGAACAAATTTTTGAATTCTTTTTTGATGATCGCCTAAAAAATGTTGTGTGCACCTTGGCCAAAAGTGATTTATTAGGCCTCATGTGAATTGCGGCCTCGGCCACCGCCTCGGCCGCAAACTGCAGCTTCGGCCAAAAAAGGTCACTTTTACGGCCTTGGTACACAATAGTTATTTGTGTACCAAGGCCGTAAAAGTGATCTTTTTTGGCCGAAGCTGCTGTTTGTGGCCGAGGCGGTAGCCGAGGCCGCAATTCAGATGAGGCCTAACAAATCACTTTTGGCCAAGGGGCACACAACATTTTTTAGGCGATCCTCAAAAAATAATTCAAAAATTTGCTCATAAACATATTTTTTCTGAAAATCATAGTTATCTTAGACAATTAAAAACAAAGCATTTCCTGTCATATGTAATTATAATTAGCATCTTTGCGTGTGTTTTGTGCGTATCAAAATGGGTGATAGCGACAGTCCAGATACCCTAAATGAAATTTTGGAAGCTGCAAGCGTTGCGCTTGCGACCCTAAGCCATATATGATATAAAAGCAGGCGTTTGAGAGTAAAAGTACAATCGCAACTTCCTCGGTTGCACAAGATTTTAATAATGTCAAATGCAATAGGTCCTTCGTAACTGTGACTTCCAAGACCTTATAGTTAATGTACAATTATTAGAAACCTGATTACCTACTTTGATGGTAGGTATAGGTAGCTACTTGTGTTCTCGGTTAATTGCTGGTGATTTTTCGTATAATAATGTAAGCAATAACATCTTCCTCATGTTTTGGTTCTACACTTCAAAAAGGTCTCTGCAAGCAGCAAAGATTGAAACGTCAAACTATAATTTTAAATGTGAACATTGTGATTACGCAAAATAGTGTGAAACATTCCTACAAGTCTGAAAATGAAAAAAACGCACGTGGATGGACCCAATCCTTGATGAGGACAGACCAGATAGACGCTTTCTATCAAACAGATTACTGGTTCTCACACCACACATCAGTTTCAAATAAGTACAGTTTGACAGATGTGTACAATAAAGTAAAGTTTGACAGAAGCGTACAATAAAGTGAAACTTTATGGCCGCAAAAGCGACCACAAAATCAACGTTTTTGTGATGATAGCCTAAAAATAACTATTCCTGCCACTTGTCACTTTACTGGCCGCACCTGTAACTTTACCGGCCGCATCTGTGACATTGCTAAACGTCTATAATGACTCCTGTCATCACTGACAGATTGACACTAATCAAAAGTTCTATATAAAAATTAAAATTTTATGATAAAATACGATTTAGGGTAAAATTTAATACAAAACTCGTTAGTAAAATGACATTACCTGACTCTGAAATTAAAGTACTCAACCCCAAAAAGGCCTCGCACTTCAATATTTCCTCACCAGTAATGTCATTTTCCGGCAAGACATCTTTTTTGTAATTAATATTTTTCACTCTGATGCTTACTTTTAGAGAAATATGCAAATTTAGAAAAATACAATAAATAGTTTACATTTTCAATCAAAACTTCTCAAAAACAAAGGAACTCACAAAAAATTGTAATGAACTTTTTTGTAGAGTTTTTAAGCCGTTTTGGTCTGTGCATGCGAAAAAAATTTAAAAAAATTTTTTCGAGCCGGTATGGCTTGCTTAAACTGTTGACGCCCTCAACCACCCTGAAGATGGTTACGGATCAAAACCAAAATAGGACGTTTTCGATTCCCTATACCACCCTATATGCACCCCAAAAAACGAACCACAACACACAACACCCACACACCCACAAACGTCAAGCTAAAAATCACTTTTTTGGGTCTGTGTGCTTCAAAACGTCTAGAAAACGCAATATTGGCATATCGAAAATTTATCACGATTACAATACTTTCCTTTATACATACTTTGTATGTAGTCGTAAAGTAAGAACACGTTGCATATTGAAAAAAAAACATGTGAGATCCAGCCTGGATAGGTAGAAATGTGAGAGTAATTTGATTAGTGGTTTTAGTGCCCCAGATTCTCGAAGATCGAAATTTAATATTTTTAAGACAATGTTCGAGTCCGATGTTTCCCGGGAAAAGCTTGTACGATTGCGAAATTGAGATGATGTAATACTTCGTATGAAAAAGACAATCCGCAGGCCTATATTGACGTGTAGACATCCAAGTTGGATAACAATACTACAAAAGTGGAATTCGGGCGTATGAAATGAAAGACCTGTGGGCATTTTCCAAAATGAACTGCTTATGAAGAAGTTGTGCGTTCAAAGCCCGCTGCCGACTGTTTTTTTTTGTTGATTTTGTCAGAGGGATTTCCTCAGATATACGTAGCTTAGCTTTGAAATCTCCGAGGTAAATTCTGAAATAGTAGGTACCTACTCTTTCCTCTAAGAATCTACCAACCCCATTCCTTCCGATCAATTGCCACACTTTACCTATCCTTAAATTCCCGTTGCCTGGTGGAAGAGGTCCTGGAAAGATATTGAATAGACCGTAACCGGTGTTCTCGTAATCTAAGAGTATACGATGTATGAAACACGTTCGTCTTTTATCTTTTATCTTTGCCGAATTTGAAGGAATCATTATTTTAATCAAAGGTCTTGCGACTATTGGAACATATCAAGTACCTAGATTCGAGGGGCTTCCGACTATGGTAATCGGGTAAGTAAAAACCAAAACAGCAATCAGTTCAAGAACCGTTGTCGATCCCTCTTCTATTAATAACGTACTTTATTTGCTTAGTTGGCAGTTTTCGCTAACTAAGGAATTGTCCTTATAATCCCTGCGGTCCCTTTAGCTCATTAAGTCCTCGTTTTGAATGTAGGTTAAAATGATAAACGAACCCAGTTGTGGTTGTGCAACAACGCGCGCCATCCCTGTAGGCTTTGATTGAGCGGTTTCTAATTCCCCATACAATAGAAATTGTGGATTCTGTACGATAGTCGATGGAACATAGCTGTTCTCGAATGTTAAATTTTGACTTGCCTTAGGAGGTATTCCGAGCAAAATTCGCGACAAACTGCACATTCAGTGGTGATTTGAGCCATAAAACGCCATCAGCAGCCGAACTAATTCTGTTACATAAATAAAAACTACTTCAAAGTCGAACGAACTCGTAATGGCAGATTTCAATTTTAACGACTATTGTTTGAATTTCAATTTTATTTTGTACTTTTATTTTTTTTTTCAGATTGTTTCGATTGAAGTCTAAGTGCGATTTATGTGAAATGAAGTTATGAGGTCGTCACAGTACGTGCAAGAGACAGTTTTAAATGACAATGACTTTAACGACTATCAGAATGTTCCATCTGTTATGCTACAAAAAGAGAAAAATCAAAATCAGAGACCGAAGCGGAGCTCGCAGCCAGATAAAAGGTATCCAAACGTCAATAATAGTGCGGAGGTTTTAATTAATAACGTTTACGATATCTACAACCGCGAGGATCCCATTTCCAATGTAAATAAGGCCGAGCGAAACGCCAACAAATACGAACAAGATATTGAGTTAATGTGCAAGTGCCCCATTAAAGACGTCGCGTATCCTTCGAAAACGCGTTTCAAGCAGGAACAAGGGAGTAATGGACAGAACGTGATAGCATCTTCCAGATCATGCTGCTCGACTCCTAAACTGGGTGAAAATAGAACTTATAGCCAGCTTAGTTTAGATAGGAGACTAATTCAATCAAAATATCCGACAGCCGGAAACAAACATTCGTATTATTTGTGCGACCCTAGTTCGTTTACGGGTGTGGTGAGAAACGCGTCACTGAAGAGTATTCAATCGCCCGAAATTATTAACGCTCATCTTGGACCTCATAATTTCCTTTATGACGGTTATGGTCCGGAAAATTGCGCGATAAAATCTTACGGTTATGATAAGGACTTAAAGAATGATGATTATGGCTTTAGAAGAGGACCAAGTCTAGGAAGAGCGACTGAGAGGTAAGGCTGAAAGGCTCTATATAACTTGTTGACGTTAATAACGTTTGACGTACTATACACATATAGCAAATGTCACTGCTTTTTATTATCGTTTCTCTGTCATATCTTATTTTCGTCAACTAGGTAGGTATTGATTTCGCTTGTCTGTTCGTGTTTAGAGCTCTTGCGCTATTCTAGACAGAATTAGATCCGAATTCTTGTTGTAATTTTGGTGCACCTTATTCAATGTGAAAGAAAATGCAGCGGCAGTTGCTTTTTCTATCTTTGGAGATGGAATTCGCATCTTGTATTACGCTACCTCTTGTTGAATTTCATCGTTTCCAGAAATACTTATTAACGAAACCGTTCTTATTCTCCAGCCCCGCTGGAGAGAACTACAATTAGTAACTGGCAACGTAACAAAAAGAAACTACTACGCAAAAATATTATCTGCGCGGAAACTACATTCGCGCAGATCTACAACGGTGTCGTGAAGTGTAGGTAGTAATATCTACCTTCTTCAACCAGAAATGATTTCTGCTGGTGATCTGGTACTGAAGATATCTGCAGTAATGGATTAATAATAATAATTATTTCGTATGAAATTAGATTGGACAGTTTTGTTCTTGAATATAAAAATACATGAAATTCTGTTTTTTGTGAGGATCAAGATTGCAGCTGAACTTTAAAACTAGTTTTGGATTCGTTATTTTCATTCTGAAAAACCTTTATATCTAATAACTCGTCGAGAAAGTGTTCGTTGTACTTATATCAGATTTACAGATGCGCAATCTTGAAGTAGCAATTGCGAAAATATTTTTACAAGGTAGGAAAGCCTAAGTAATGCTGCAAGTTCCACTCTCCCATATGCTGTGGTTTAAGGAAGAAATGCACATTTTGGGACTTTATATTGTGGTACAGTATAATATGGTATGGTATAGTGTGGCGACTCAATTTAGAACAGTGGCGACAACCGGGTATCTCGTTTTGATTGGTCGTTGGTTCCGGTCGCCATATTGGGGCTAACATGCAATACTTTGGTATAGAAGTTTACACTTATTTGTGTTCTTGCGAAATTCTGTGAATAAATATGCTGCTTAACAGCTTATGGTAATGTATATTGTGGCCATTCGGTTCTACACAGGGTGTCTTACATTGCGTAGGATAACATGGCAATCATTGTTATTATTATACTTACAGATTCGGTGAAATTAGCAAATTTGTGTAGATTTTGATGCTGATGGATATTCCGTTGCGATATTTTGAAAAAATAAATCGTTTCGTTGATATTGGAAAAAAATGAAAATCGCCATTTTTAAAAAGTTTAATTATCTTAGTAACAAAGAGAGCTATCGAAAAAAATTTCAAAAAAAACTTGCGATGGGAGATCCGATGGGATAAATTCAAGGGACGGAGAAAAAAAAATTTCATAATGGCGGTTTTCGAGATATTGACATCAACTTTCGTATTTTAAATCGACGCCATGTCGGATTTTTACCTCACTCGATAGAGAAAAAAATTACAAAACCACTGATACTAGATACTTCGTATTTCATTTGAGAATCTTGCATTTTGGCCTCGAAGCTTACAATGTATTTCTTATGGCAATAATTCCATGGCTGATTGTGATTGAAACCAAATTCGTTCGTTTATTGTCTCGCAAGTCACCATCGACACGACCATTATTCAATATGGAAGTTTCCTACTATTAAAAGAAGATTTGTGGAAAGTGACTAAGTAGAAAGCATCGAAGCAATTGAGTTCATCGATTGTAAAGAATCAATAATTAGAAACTGATGCCTGGTATAAGCTAGATGATCAAGCAAGAGCATGGATTGGGTTTTCAGTTGAAGAGTAAAGCAAGAAGTGCATTTGAAGCATGGTTCAACATAAGGAATATCACCAAAAGGCACTCAGCCATAAAGTACAATTGATGCGGTTGATTTGTTGACTAAACATGGAAGAATCGAATGGACGAAAGCAGTACCGCAATTGATCACATCAATCGAATGCAAGAGTTATTCGTGAAGCTTAGTGATTTGGGAAATTGTCATTAGCAGATAATTGGAGCGTTGCAATATTGTTAATTAGTTTACCACGAAACTATGACACATTGATTACGGCTTTGGAAACGCGTCCAGAGTGAATTGACTTTTGCGTTGGAACAACAGAAGCTAATTGCTGAGTACGAAAGAAGATTGAACGCGGTTAATAGTGATGCGACTGAAAATGTATGGAAATCTGTTTCCGAGGAAATGAAGTGTTTCTTCTGCGAAAAATCGGGTCACATGGAGAGTAACTGTGAAAAGTATCAAAAGATAAAAAGAAGATACGAATAAAGGTAATATTGCGAATGATTGTGTTCATCATCACGCACAGTATGCATCACAGTGGCTGGATTCTTGATTCAGGTGCGATAAGACTCATCACCAATAACAGGAAATGTTCTTCTTAACTCGATGGTTCTTATACGTGCAGGTGCAAAAATCCTTGTCTTAGAATCGGATTATTGTTGCCACCAGCACTCATGCTTCTTGATAAAATACTATTTAGCGTGTGAATATCGAGTAATTGACTCATTTTCTTATTTATGAGCGAAATGTTGGAAAAGTAAAGGAAGAAGGAAGTTTAATAGAAAAACGGACTAGACAGAATCGAAAAAGTTGCAGATGTGCTGGTAGGGTGAGAGAGGACGAGGGCTGAATAACAGATCAAACGCAGACTCCACAAGAATTACAGTACGGAAGAAGGTAGAACGAATAATATTGTGGTGAGAGACTTATTTAATTTAAGGAATGAATTATCGCAAAATAAGGATAGGAATGAAATTATCTAATATAAAATGTAAACAACCAAAAGAGTCATCGATGCACTGCGCCGAGATTAAACAACTAGATCGAAGGCGGTAACTTAGATTCTGCTTACGGTATAGTGAAAAGTTTCTTTGGTAAAAAAAAGATGTCGAGATCTGCTATTGAATTGAAGCGCAGGATGGTAGGTTAATGTATGAGCTACGGTGAGCTTCGTTCGTCATCTTTCATCTTGGAGTTGAAAACACAGCCAATAGCTTTATTAATAAGAACTCCTTTTAGATATAGGTTATCGCATTTCCCTTAAAAAAGGCGTATTTTGGTAGCTATTAATTGTAATGATATAAAAAAGTTGTCACAAATATGACTTCGAAGTAGTTCGGACTAGGCGAATTTGTTGTTCTTTTCGAAGGTCTAGGTTCGTTAGTAATAAAAACAGAAATAGTTATATCGTCGGAAATTGGCGATGAATTTTGTCAACTCAAGCACCCATTTATCTCAATACAATAATGTATTTTCACGGAACAGAACTTCGCAATGCAATTTATTTTGTTCATAAGCGTATTATGTCTTACGTAAGTTGCATGTAAAATATCAATGAAGCAAAATTTTTGTGAAATAAAGTTTAAAATACATGTAACCCTACTTATTTTCTTTATGTGCGCCCATAAATCTTGTCGGAATCTACATCCGAAATGCAATACAGATCAATATAATGCATGATGCGGTATTTTACTTTGAATGCTTATGGAATTCTATATTTTTAAAGATATGAAAATACGATTTTGAGTATAAGTCCACTGCTCTACATTTTTCTGTTCTTTTGTAATATGAACGAGTAGTTTTTTAAAATACGTTAGTGCACCATAGATACGAGAGCACATTTTTATGTAACTACTTAGATATGGAAAAAGGCAAAACCAAACTACTTTTCCCGTATATGTATGTATTCTACACACTTATTCCGTCGTTTATGCAATGAACAGATAAGTATCGCAAAAAGTGTTATTGGTAGATCTTCAAAATGGTCACTAAGAGTAAGTTTCAGGTCATTATGAGAAGGAAACCTTTGGCCTGGTAAGCGTTTTGCCAACTTGGGAAAACGTAAATTATAGTATATTTCACCAAACAAATATTCGTAATCGTTCAACGTTTTACTTTTTCGATGAGTTCAGCGAGATTTATCGCAGTCGGCGCCCAGTAACGGGAAACGGTATCATTTTAGTCGAAAAAAAGAGGTACTATATTGTTTCATATCTTACGTTGCAAGTCAACGCTTCTTTGATGAGAAATGATCAAAAATTTCGCTTTGCCGGCTTTTTTGGAAGGTAGCCTAACGTTAGCGAACTAGTGAGAATTAACTAAATACCTCCGCCGTTGCTGTCCATTATGAAATAGGCATTTTAAGTTATCTTAGTGTAGAAAGAGCAGATGCGCGAAATTATTAATTCGCGTTTAGTCAGTCAACCAGTGAGTTGCTTTGCTGTTGGTGATTCCACCACGGAGATTTGCTTTTGAGCCGTAATGCAAGGAAGATTCGCGTCTTGCCAGTCAAGGCGTAGAGATTAGCTTCTTCTTAGCGTTTTGGTCAGTACAACGTTTTCTAGAAGCGGCCTTTAGAGCACCAATAATTAAAAACAGCGTTAGGGATTTTCGGAGCTTCAAAAAGAAGAAACATATTGAATTCCCATCAGCAGTCTAGTGTCCATAGCATCCAATAATTTTATGGAACTTAGCATTTTGCCCAAGTGGAAAAGTTTAGGAGTCACCACTTGGAATATTATAATGATCGTGCGTTTAGATTTTCATTGCTCTTAGTGAAAATGAGCGTGTCCGCTGGTGGCTTTTCTATATTGATTAACGAGAATGAAAGTTACGCGAAGAAACAATTACGTCTTCCCATGCTGAGTTCGAACACATCATAAGCGTATCTTATTTTGATATAAATAAAGCCATTAAAAAACTTACGTCAAAACCCCACATAAAATGAAATTGCAATATAGAAAATTGATAGTACGTCGAGATTGAAATTTGTGTTCTTTGTGCCGCTAATGTTAAAATCAATCATGGTCAAAAGTTTGCGAAAGTAATTTCCCACACATTAAAACCTGAAATACAGGAACTATTTTAAAAACAAACGAGTTCAGGCTAGTACTCGTCTTTTTTATCAACTATCAAAATTGTGCACTGATAAAAAGGAATCACGACCGAGATCTGCAGATAAACCGATCCGCTTCAAAAAGCTGTATGGGAAGTCAACCATATTCAGGCCGTCGTCGGATTAAGAATGCATTTCCAGCAATCACTGGTCAATTATATCAATGTAATGAATCATCTCCATGAGTTATAAACCACCTAGGTCTCAACGTCAAGGATCACCACGACAAGGTTAATTACGAATTACGCATAACTGTTATTTTAAATTCTGATCGACTGATTTATTGTCTTTTAAAAAAACCAATTTTGGACTATTACTAGGACAATTAAATTCAGAACCGGACCACAAATGTGTCGAAAGACTTATGTAAAATTGTATATATTTTTGTACTCTCATCAAAAGAAATCTCTGTTTGCGACCAGTCTTTACAGACCTTTTCATTTTTTTCTGAATTCCAAGCAAATTCCGATTTTTGTAAACTTTTGTAGTAATTATTTCAGCTGTGGAAAATCTCTGGAGCAAATCAAAGTAAGACGAGTAAACAAAATCATAAACGAACCGATTGAGCTAGTTTCCGGAGCAATTATTGCAATTTTTATTTTTAACCGAAACAAACTAAATTGTTAATCAACAAAGTGTATCAGAGTGTCAATATTGAACCCCCGGATACAACTACAATCTCAAAACTCGAAATGGCGCTAACTATAATAATTACAGTGTTTCAGAGGGTGCATTTTTAACACTATCGCCACCACTGTGCAATTTATCCCCAAAAACAAGCGCTGAGTGCGTCAGACTTAAGGCTAGCTGCCATAATTTTTATCATTAGCCCAATTCTTTGGGCAGATGAGAGGCATTCCCCTCCATTATGAATGTTGAAGTGAATTTTGGACTTTTGCGACTCTATAGCGTTACATTTAATCTTTCTAGATTATTTCTAGACCTTCAGGGACCGATAGCACCATCATTTTGCCCCACGCGAATCAAGCAAATTTAGGATTATAAATCCTTGTGTGTTTTCTGTTAAAAACTTGTCACAAAACTACATTCTGGTAGGTGGTAGAATTTCAAGATGTTTGTTCCCTATAGTATGTGAGACAGACTTTCCTTCGATGGAGTGATAATATTTACTGTACACTAATTCTGTCAAATGAAACACAACAAATTGACATAACAACCAATCAAATAAAAAAAACAGATTAAGTAGCTACAGTAGTAGCACAGACAAACTCGAATTCTTCATACCTTTCTAACTTGACCACTGGGTCGCTATGAATTTATTTAAACCGTCTTCTGACCCACTCGACTCATAAAACGCGAATCTCTTTTAGGTCGTACCCTTTATATACCTTAACCTGTTTTTAGTTCGACTGACCAAACGCTAATCCCTTAATCTTGTGAAAATTAATCCCCTCTCTAAATACTTAACGCCCATTCAATGGTGGTCAAGTTATGGCGGCGGTATTTTATTAATGTATCCGACCTTCGAATTTTACGATGTCAGCGTCTTTATCGAGCTTTAATTAATTTATTTAATTGCAGAAGTAACAGATAACGACTAATTTCCAGCGTGCAATTCAAAACCATAGCCATACCATGAGGCGACAAATAGGATTTAGAGCAATTATCCCATTAATAAATGTGAGAAGATGACGAAAGCTCACTGTTATTACAATAATAAGAATTTGAACTTACCATGAGCACTTGTTTGGGGGAATGACGTCCGCCTGCCACACTTAGGAGAGCTACGGGTCTACCAACTACTTAAAAATTTCCCGTTTATCTGCGTTGTATACTGGGCTGGGTTGCTACCTAGAGAATCCTTGACTAAAATCTCATCTACTTAATTTGGGACGAGCTGCATATCAATTTTTTATTTCTATTTCGCGTAAAGAAAGAAGCTACACATACCAAAGAACGCTCATCTGCTATAGGTGAATTTTTCACGACCTTTGATTGGAGATAGCTCTGTTCAAACAATTACAAATGCAATATGTGTACCCCAAGTCTACCTGCTCGGCATTAATATATGACACAACTGCAAAAGGCGACCATTACTGAGTTATGAACAAATACCCATCTTTAAATTGTTATAAATACTATCGTAGAAATCCTCCTTAAAGAGGAATTATCCTAAATAATTACTAGCTTCGGTATTCTAATTCCAATTATCTTGACGAGAAACTGTTGCCGATCACTGTGGATGTAAAGGTAAATGGAAAATTCCCGTGATTTGAAATTAAACTTGAATAATCGAAATTCAAACCCTGAAAATAACCACGTATAATAAGTCCTTTAAGCGTAGCACTCATTCTACCTAACCAATAAGAGGGCTACTCATAAAACGAAATTTGTGCAACGACGGACTTAAATTGGTTCGGATTTCCAATGGCAGAAGCATATTAATACATCCCAATTATATCCTCCAGAGCGGAGACCTAAACTCGCTTCCAAATTATATCCAAACTGGGCTCAATCAAATGGCCAATCCTCAGAAACAAGGAAGAATTCGCCAATAGACAGACATGGATTAATTATTAATACTCAACTTCGCTTCTACGGGTGGAACCAAACGTGCTTGTAACCACAAAGCGGAAGAGGACGTGAAAAGCAAAGAATCGCATTGAAGATTGGGTGAAGGAATCCATCAATAGGAGTCGCCACAAACGAAATTACATATAATGTAAATGTTTCAGTAAAAATTCATAATAATTAATACCAACTTGCGAAAATAAAACTGTAACAAATGAAGTGGAAACCTCTCATAAGTAATTTCCTAAATACTAACAAACTTAACCCTTTTAAATTATCCTCAACTTAACAATTGTAATTTAATTACAAAATAAGTGCACACATAACCAGTAATATCTGGAAGCTCAATAAATTCCCAAATTTTAACTAACGAATCATTTTTGGATACGCCCGCTACATTTTTTTCTAGCAAATCAACAAGTGATAAAACACAAGAAGTGGAAAATTTTGCCTCCACTCAATAAACATTAATTTGCCTTAGAAAAACAGAATAACAATAAACCTTTGAATACATTCATTTCACTATGGAAATTTCTAGTCGTGGTGTCGGAAAAATGAAATGCTTTCCTATAAACACGGCGGTCGAGATACTCCCCTTTCGATTTATTTCTCCAAAAGAATGTTGGCAGATCTCCCCGAATCCGAAAACAAGACGCCAACTGGCCTACCGAAATGTACTAGAAACGAGCTCGATTGATTACGAAATTTTTTCAAATACGACAATATTGTTCAATGTGAACGTTAGCCTTCTACACCAAAATAATGTTTAATTTTCTCCTGGGCGACGGCCGAGTTCCACCTTTGGGCAAAGAACTTTCTGTTATAAACGTACCCCATTTTCCACTGGCATCCAAATAGTTTTTCATGGCGAAATTAATTCCTTAATATACTCTTCAATGGACTTGAAATCTACCCGAGTTGGAAAAGTAAGGGGGCTTTTATTTATTTAAACCTCGATTTAAACACCTGTCTTACCAGAAAATTTTATCATTCCCTTTGCGTATTTTGCGTTACGTGTTTTTTTAAAATTCTACTTTATATTATCGGTAATAGAAGTTCTAATTGAAACAGAATATTATAATCGGCATTTGTCCGATAGATATCTCTTCAACAATCTGTCAGCTGACGCACCGTTCATTGGCCGCCTCTTATGACACGTAGTATTTCTGCAGTATATGTATCATTTGATATAAGAGAATTTTCCGATGCTCATGTACTAGAGGGCTACCCTACGAAGGTTTTAGGTATACTTTAAAATTGCCCTTTCGGTATTGAAAAGTAGATGGTACACAAATTTGAATATTGTAATCGGTTCATTATACTAAAACCGATATCAGTATTATTGGTTTTATCCTTCGTTTTCCGATTCAGTAGTTAAAGATAAGTATCGGCAGTAATTTTAGATGACAGTAAAATTACTGATGTGGTAGGATCTCAACGGCATAAACTACAACAGTTTGAAATAACGGGCAAACCTTCGTTTTAGCGGAGGGCTACGGAATAACCGGCCACATTACGGCCTATGGCAATTACAATTTCACGTCAGGTCTCTCTTGGAGTTCACTTTATTTAACTTCAACCAAAAACAATCTAGGAAATGATACGGACATTAATGAGAGTGGAAACTTGCGGCGAACTTTGTACGAGGAACACATTTTGTCGATGTCCTACTTAGTTATGCCGCTGTGCACAAACAATATTTCGTTTAGTAAATATTATTGTTCATATTCCAGCGACAATTCCGGAAATTTACGCCCTTCTTAATTATTCGGCTGTTTCCACCGAGCGCGTATAATATGTCAACTGCAAACAGTTGTATCAAGGAATGTATTAGTTCAGCTAAACACAACGGAATTGGGAATGGATTAGAATAGCTGAAAGCTACCATATTGCTTCTGGCTGATCCATAGAATAAAAATTTTACTATAAGAAATGTAGGCCACGCACGCATACCGTTTATTTCTTATATTTTACGTCCAGCAAATAAGATCGAATTTAGTAATAAATTTTCACGTTCTCCTGAAAGAAATATAATGAAACGGCGCGGTAGCACCTTTACTTGTTAAGCATCCCTTTGGGAAATAATTTCGAATTAAACTAAGTGAATTTTTAGGTCAAACATTGGTCGAGCGCGGCATAAAAAACGAATCGCAGGTGATGGAATGGATTCAGAAATGGACGATCCTGAGCTGTCGTTTGCTCCAGCGGATCATCTTCGCACGTGTCGATGTCCATGCGATCATGTTTTGTACGGACCCGGCTACAGCTGCTTGCAGGTTAGTTAACAAAACTTAATTTGCGTTTTAAACAAGAAATTCGAACAAGAAATTGCTTACTTCCCCGGTACGATTCGTATTACCTAAATAAATCCGGGATAATTAATCGAATTTTCAAAGTCTTTAAACGGTAATACATCAAAGCCGTTCGCGCTATTACAAAAGGTTAGAGTGATGAACAATCTCAATCTCATAAGTTGCAATTTACTTTGTAAGCGCCATAGCCGTAACAGTCGCATAGGATACAATTTTTCTCGTAGCTTAGCCGCTTCGGCAGGCATAAATTTGAATATAACTTTCGTTTTCTTTGAAGCGTCTTAACTTTTTCAATTATCTTTACCCAAGTTTCATATTCACGATATCTCGCACGATATGTCCAGGTTCCGCCCGTACCTATAAAGAAAATTGTAAACTTTAGAGTCCCCGCACAGATTTTAGCTAAAGAGGCTCATGTGCTGAAATTAAATTGAAATTTCTCCTTTTTACACAGCTAATTAGAAATCTGTTGGGGTCTACTAAACAACGGGAATCGATACTGTGAGAAATCATTCAGTATTTTCTGAACAATTTCTAGCAGATGTACCAATTCTATTTCATTAACTGGGTCTTGCCCGACCCGAAAAGTTACGGCCTCAGCTTCGCCACTGGAATATCTCCATTAGGGGGAGCTCTGCTTCCTGGTGATAGCCTCTCCCCCAGTGTTCCATTAGTTTCCGATGCCTCCATCCTTTGATCCTGTTTCTTTCTTTCTTGTTTCTCCCTTCCTTATTGTTGTCCTCTCCCTGCTTCCCTTTCTATTTCCTCCTTCTGCTCCTCTTGGCTGCTGGTGCTTATGTTTGACTCTTCATCCACCTGAAGCACCCTTCTGCTTTCTTTCTTCATTTTGTGTTTGTCTCTGCTCCACTCTTCCCATCCCTCTACAGGAATCCCGAAGCCCGCCACCGTTTGGTCTATATTGGTGTTCCATTTGAAGCAGAGCCGTCCGACATTCCGAGGTACGTAGATTTTTGGCCATCTGCAAGATATGGCCTTTGTTCCTCCTGTTTATATGCCCCCAATATCTTAGCTGCGCCTGATCTTCGGTCTCCTGGTGATCCGTCTTTTATTCTAGTAATTCACTTATCTGCTTTCGTGTGAGGTTGCTGTTTTCGATCAGTATCTTTAGTGCCTTCCGATTCGCCCTCCTCAATGTTTGTATGTTGCTCTTTGTTGGTGTTCACTCTGTATAAGATTGTCGGACCTATGACTATGTTTATAGCAGCATTTTCAAGCTGGCCGGTATTCTCTTCTCTCATAAAAAGTGGCTATTGCTTTCATGCTTCATTTGGTCAAAGGCCTTCGCCAGGTCTATTGCTAGAAGCCATATTTTGATTTCTGCCCTCCAGTGTTCGTCTAAAATCCACCTGGTCGGGAATATATGGGCGTCCGTTGATCTACCTTTTATGAAACTTGCTTGGTATGCTGGTGTCTTGACTGTGTGGTCCTCTAGTCACTGTAGTAGGTATATAGGTTGCGTATATCTTGTAACCCGCACTGCATAGCGAGATTCTCCTGTAATCGTCTGTTCCTTGTGGTGACTTGCCTTTTGGAATGGGGATTTGCACTGTCTGCTGCCATTCTATAGGTACCAAGCGTCCTGAATTAATTCATGGAGGTTCTTTATTAGCCATTCTGATGTGTACTGTTTCAATTCTGTCTGGACCCTATCTCCATCATTTCTTCCATCGTGGGTGGTGGCGGAAGTGGCTAGTAATCGTTCTCCTCCATTATCTGTATATGTTCCTCCTTCAAGAGCTTCTCCCATGCTGTCATTGGTACATACTTTTTAGCTCCCCCTTGTTTCCTCCTGTTTTTTAATGTGCTTATACATCTGCACACTCCTCTCCATTGGGATATAAACTTGGCGATGTTCTCTGTGAACTCGGCAAATTCCTTGATCTCATACTGTTCAAAGGCTCTGTTGTTCTCTTCTCTGGCCTCCTTTAGCTCTCTCTTTGCTTTAGGTTAGTGTGGGTTTCGCCCAGTGCTTTCCCTGCTGCTTCCTTGAGCGTTTCGGCGATCCTGTTCCAAGATGGTTTCTCTTCCCCCTTTTTGTTCCTGATCTCGTCCTGCTTCTTTCTATTCTCTTCCCTTTCCAGAAGTTTCACATCCCACCATTCAGTTCTCCCGCTTTACTCCATGACCGTTCCTTCTTCTTCGTCGCCCCCCCCCCGCCCCCGCCTTTCTTTCCCCTTTACCATTTTGCGGTTCGATGCTACTGTTCTGACCCATACTCCTACTGATCTGTTTGTGATGCTTATTTTCTTTGATTTGCTCCATCTGGTCGATCTGTGATTCAGAGGTTTCTCTCCTTCATGTTGTCAGCACCATTTTGGATTTGATGAATGTGTTTTACATTCTCAGTCCAGGTAGATGTACCATATTCCTAAGCTCGCTACCATTCACGTTCTGTTGCTCGTGCTTGAGTCTTTTGCCTATCCTTTGTTCCTCCCCTTCCCTTCCGTCTAGTCTGCCTAGTTGCGCGTTGAAGTCGCGTAGTATGATTCCCGGGTATCTTGCGCTCTTTTACTCTATTATTTCGCTCAGCTTCCGATTGTCCTCTTTTGTCCGAGGGAATGTGGCATCCTATAAACGTTAGTCTTCCTATGCACGTCTTGATTTGGGCCATATACTCTCGTTTCTTTCTTCAAATTTCTCAACTTCAATGCCTCGGTGTTTCCTGGTTACGATTGCTGTGCTTCTGCTGATTCTCTCCTTTTTCCCTCCTCCTATTCACCAGTCGTTGTTCCTTGTCGCGGCCATCCGACTGGTTAGTTTGTTTTGCTATTGGCCGGTTACATTTATTTCCTGCTCTCTTAATTCGTCTTCAATTAGCTCCCTTTTCTTTGGGTCGTTTGCCCCTTGTACGTTCCACGTGGCTACACCTATGCTGTTGCCTCTTCTACATCCTGACTGCTATCCTGGTTATTACCGCTTCTCTTCGGCGTGGCACTCCTTCCGGATACAACGCTCATCAGACTATTCGTTAGGGACGGCGGACCCTCTCGCTTCCTCGTGTTCCCCCAGCACCCTTGTTCTCCGGAGTTCCTCCTCTTCTTCTATTTCCCCTATCTTGTTTACTGCCCTCAATCACGCTGTCGTAGTGGTTCCGGACATTGTTACTCTCTAGTGTATATGTTATGTAGCAATGACCTGTGGTCCCCGTTATATGGCTGGTGATTGTATGATATGTTTTCTCCCTTCTTCTTCGTATATCACTATCTGGTTGTGGTATGTGTTGGCCAGTGCCAACAGTGACTTATATTCTCCCTAGAATCCATGCTTGCTGTGATAAGTTTCGACCTTCTCCTCATTATTGGTATATTGATTATATCGAAACCCTAATTCCATTACGTTCCCTATCAATTGTGGCTAGAATTCTTCCAGGTTCTCCCTAATGTATGTGTTGGTTTCTCTAATCCTTTTGGTTCATCTCGTGTGTGGTCACTCCAAACAGGCAGTCCCCGTCCTTATGTATCCTGAAGAACTCTAGGATGTACTCGTTTGTGCGCACTTCTTCGGTCATCCTGTTTGGCCGCTGTTGGTAATCGTTTATGTGGAATTCTGCCGTCTTAATCTTGGTTGGGGGTGATGGGCGCTGTTTATTGATCGCTAAGAGATATAATTGAATTGCATTATTGGTTAGAACAGTGAGATGTGCCCATGCAGTCTAGCTTGGCCACCCATGTGGTAGAAAGGCAGCCTTGCAAGTATCTTATTTATCCCGTTTGATTAGGGCAGATGTGTCGAGTTATTTCACAAGTGTGAAACTCTACACGAAGGCACAAAAAACCGCCCTCGTATGTGTACATACAAAGATGTGTCCTCAGCTGTGGGAACTTTAATATTCTGATTTATGGATTAGGGTACTTCAATGATTGACAAGTTTCTATTTCTCTTTGTAAGGATCCAATTTGTTCCGTCCCCTCGAGGTAGGTATATTTGCGGGTGCGTGTGCGTGCTACCTTTCGCAATTCCCCTGTTTGTTAATTACCCCCCGTGTCTTGCGCCCCTCTATTTTATGTTTTCGCCTTTAATTCAATTTAATTTTAGCCTTAAGTCTAGGTACAAGTATCAATTCCAGTACTTATCTTTACGCCCTTGTTGTCCTATTTTTTAATATTCCTACACTGTCGTGACCAGCTCACAATTTAACTAGATCTCCGCGCGCTATTTGTGTCTTGACAAAAACTTCCGCTTGAGCTTCGAATATGTGCGAATTAAGCCTGGAGCCGCCTCGCGTTTAATAATAATAATAATAATAAATGCCTTTATTTCATTACCTTGCATAAATATATAAAGTAAATGTAAAACAAAATGTAAAACAAAAATAACAAAATGTAAAACAAAAATTTTCAAAGTTACAGGTCATTTTGTTCCAATATGGCGGATTTGGCTTATTCACAAACTTGATCGAGATATTTATGAGTTACAGCAACCCTTAAAGTTTGGTGGAAATTGACTTATAATTACGAAAGTGGCAGTGATATATTTAAACCTACAAATATACTGGTACCATTACAATGGGTAGATAGAAAACTACCTAAAAAATGGTGAATTAATGTAAAATAGCGATATCTAAATTCTCTATTGGTTAGTGTTTTTTGCGCTACCAATCCCAAAGGTTTTTAGGTCATTAATTTTTCTACAGAGGAAAGCAAAGTTTTTACTATCTGATTTTTGCGGTATGCTGATCTAAACAATAAGGCTATTACCGCTAATAAAATATCTTGAATTCGTTATGAGGACAAAGGAGGCATTGAAACTTGAATGATGTATAAAAGGCGGACTCCATTTCTCACGGTTTAAACTTTTATTAGTGAAGGTCCACCACAGACGACTCTTTATAGAACAAATTAACTATCTAAATTTTGACATCCTACAATTTCCAATCATATTCAAAACCAAAACGAAATCTATGATATTTACAACGATAATTCGAGAAAAAGTGCAAACTTTTAGTTATGTCT